ATGGCCCATCAAATGCGCCGCCCAGCTAAGCCGCCATGGGATCCATGTACGACGGAGGTATTGGAAGCAGTCTGCGCTCCGCAGGGATATCCGTTCCAAAATCCGATGGTAATGCGCGCAGTCGTACGTGTACAACAACGACCGCAGCATGTTGAATAGAGCTCTCTTATCTTCCATGTTACACAGCGGAAGATGTGAGCAACGCCGCCGCATGTCACGCATAATGTGTACCCGGCAGAAAACAATGTTCGCATTGGGGTACGCATTCCGGAACGCATTCACTTGCGCGGTGCACTTGTTCATCAACAAAGTCCGAGCACCGGCAACCGTGGGGGCCAAATCCAACATACCTCTCACTGCCTCCTCGTAAGCAACCTCCGTCTCATTAGGCAACAGCGCATAAAAGAAACTCATACCCAAGCCGCTAACGTCCACAAACATGCAATGCCACAGGATGTAGCCGCCGTAATTGATCTGATACGTGGAGTCCGCCAAAATTACCTCCACGTATTGGCCCACCAAACCAAGCATGCGCCAAGGTACGAAATTCATGTAAGGAATCTGATTCCCCTCATGCATAATTTTCACCTGACCATTTATTTGCAACGGCTGCGTCACCTCCACTACCTCAGTGACACAGATATTACGATGACGCCGCCGTACGACATACAAATCCCTCCTTGTTAAACGAAGGTCATATTGCTGCCGCACAAAGGCACGCATCTCCTGGGTCTGACGAAACGTTCTCATTAAGTTAAGCACCAGCCTCTCCTGATCTTCTGTTAGCCTCCGATTTCTCGCATACAGCCAAGGCTTCCCAACGTGAAAGCTGTGCGAATGCCACAGATACGCATTCCCAATTTCGCAACATTCGCCCTTATAAGTCACAGAAAAACGCGCACGGCAATCGTAACATCGGTACCTATAGTAACCTTATCATGAGGTAATTACAATGCACTTACCGCTTTCCAGTAACATTGCTGCGCCTCCCATGCACACATACAAACAAAATATACCGGTATGGGCATCCTTCCGGTAGCACCTGTGCAGTCTGCCTTTCGTACGCCTTCGCAGTTTGAACGTTCCGACGAACAAACGATGTCGCCGTTTCAATCTGAAACACTTTCAGACCCTTCTTCACCGATGCGAAGTCCAGAAGTCCAGATAAGAACCCTTAAGCATACGTCAGAATACAAGCGAGTCATCCACCATGGCTGCTACGCGTGAGGCGGGAAAATGATTAACCATCGTAACGCATTTAAACCCCTTAGTAAATTGATTACTAGTTGAGGTCGTAGAATTTCAGCAAGCATCCTTAATTATTAATGAAGAACCTTTACTCCTGCCTGACCTGACCGAACTGCGGATAGCGAGCTCCTTTGTGTTTTGTTACTGTCTTGAAGATTCCTAGAAGTTATTGTAGATAGTATACAATGTCTTGCAAATGCTTGGACTGCTTTAAAGCTGTTACTGCTCGATCGAAGGCTGTTCAGTGTTCTTTCTGTGAAGGGTGGTTGCACGTTGCGTGTTGTAAAATCGGTGCCGATCTGTACGATCAACTGCAGAGGACCACTTCCTCGGTCGTCGTCTTTATTTGTGACCCATGTCGCGCTGGACTGAGTGTCAATCGCGTTTCGAATGGCCTACCTCCAATCAGTCCAAGTCCCTCATGTTTGCATTCTGTGCAAAAGCAGAAACATCCTCTGCTGCCCCCCAACGACAAGTATATCCCTGCCGGTCGGACTCCAGTGAAGAAGGCAGGTACCGATGCTGCACCACTTGATGGACTGCCTGCACCGAACCCGAGTTTCTCTTCTGCTCAAACCGAAGCAATCAGCGCTACTGCCTCCTTGGCATTTCCATGCCTCTCATCACCAACTTCTGGTCCCGTTACCCCCTCTGGTAAGCCGACGGACGTTGACCACGGTAAAGCCCCAAATACCAAGACTTATGCATCTGTAGCGAAGGATTGTGCGCCCCTGTCCTCGCCAGTACGAGTGGCTGAAAGTATGGGCAAGACTGATGTCAAGGTGAAAAGCAAACCATTGTCTTCACAATCGCAGTTGAAGCTAGTTCTGGATAGAGTCGGTCAGCTAGAAAAACTGCTTAAGGAGGGTCCACCTCTCCACAATTCGCAGATCCCTGTTAACAACAAATCACCCTCACGTGGCCGTTGCCTAATCATCATAAATGCTCCTGAGTCGTCCAAAACCACTCCAGCTGAAAGGATTATGGATGATCAAGAGTTTCTAAAACGCATGATCTCCTTACTGCTCGATGAAGGTGAGCCAGGAATCAACATCGTCTCGGCTTTCCGCCTTGGCAAGAAACAGGAGGACTCCTCTAAGGTCCGTCCCTTGAAGATTGTATGTCAAAACGATGATGAAGTCCATCGCATTCTCCGACGAGCTCCGCGTCTTAAAGGAGAACCATTTTTCGTATTACGAGACCTCTCTCCGGAGGACCGAGTAAAAATGAAGAAAGCGGTGGATGAACTTAGATGTCGTCGTGATAACGGTGAGACGGACCTACATATCGTGGATTTTCGCGTGGTTCGAAAAACGCCAAGAACTCGTTGGAGGCCACTCCTTGTAATGCCCGGGCGTTAGAGTTGAAGAATGGACTGCGCGTAATTTCTTCCAATGTGCGCAGTCTCAGAAACAAACTAGACGAAGTTCAGCTTTTTGCCTCCATGAATCGGCCGGATCTTATAGCTTTCACCGAAACCTGGTTGTCCTCGGATATCCTGGACTCGGAGGTGCAGATCCCTGGATACCACCTTTACCGGGCAGACCGCCATGGAGGAAGACCTGGGGGAGGCGTGATACTCTACTGGAAGACGGACTTCAAGGCCCATCTGGTTGAAGCTACCTGTGGCAGCGATGGCGACTTCGAAACTCTCTGGTGCCGTGTTCATGACGGATGCAGATCTCTCATGGTCGGTGTAGTCTACAGGGCCCCATTGGGTTCCGGAGCTTGTCTGCTGGACGCGATCAAAATGCATGGTGGAGGCAAGGACTGTTTATTACTGGGTGACTTTAATGCCCCGGGTATCGACTGGGACCAACTGCATTGTGTTCCCGCTTCAAACGTTTTTGATTCCGCTCTTCTAGAGACGGTTATCGAATGTAACTTATTCCAACATGTCACAACGCCTACTCGTATAATTGCAGGACAAACACCCCATATCCTCGACCTTGTACTCTCACCGGCACAATCAGATGTCACCGACCTAGCCGTTCTTCAGCCCATTGGTAAAAGCGATCACTGTGTCATTACATTCCTCTGGACTCGACGACTTACTCTCCACAACCAAGGTCGCCTCCGCAGAAATTTCTGGCGTGTTGATCCCCAACGCTTACAAACGGCTGCCAGTAGTGTGGACTGGAGTATGCCCGAATCCCTGAATTTGGACGATGAGTGGAACCTCTTGCACTCCAAAATGATTTCGCTCGTTGAGCAGGTCGTTCCTGTCTACAAAAGACCTTTTGCCAGGGGTCCTCCATGGATTGATCGAGAACTGAGGTGCCTAATGAACAAAAGACGGAAACTGTGGGTCCGATTCAAGCTCACGCAATCCGGGTCTGACTATTCGGAATATAAAGTGGCCAGGAATATCTGCAACTTGAAAAAACGAGAGAAACGGCAAAAGTACGAACTCGGTTTGGCTTTGCAATCCAAGACAACGCCCAAGGCACTCTTCTCTTACCTGAAGAGAAGTACCAGAGCAGGCAGTGGTATTCCTGCTCTGTATTCCTTGGCTCATGTGGGTTTGCTTGACGATGATGCTGCGAAAGCCAGTCTCCTGGCCATGCAATATTCGTCTGTTTACTCGATGGAGACGCCGTTTCCCAGTGACGCGATGCCAATACTCCCTTCTTCGTTGGAGCATGTAGAAATGAGCGCTGATGTCGTTGCCAAAGGCATTCGTGAATTAGATCCGAACTCCTCGCCAGGTCCTGATGGGTTGCATCCGCTGTTCCTCAGGACTGTGGCCGATTACATTGCCGCTCCCGTTTGCCGGATATTTCGACATTCCCTTGAAGTTGGACGGCTCCCGATCGCTTGGAAAGTGGGGATTGTTAAACCCATACACAAAGGAGGGGATCGTCAAAACCCTGCCAACTATCGACCTATCTGTTTAACGTCAATATTGTGCAAGGTAATGGAGAGGATTCTCAAGCGGGCACTTCTTTTCCACCTCGAGAACCTTAACGTCATCTCTTGTGCGCAGCATGGTTTTCGGCGGGCGCGCTCCTGTTCTTCGAATCTGCTTGTGGCCCGTGAAAGATGGGCGAAATCATTAGACGCTGGGAAACGTCTGGATGTTATTTTTGTCGACTTCAGCAAGGCCTTTGATAAGGTTCCTCATGAAAGACTCCTTTATAAACTACGATTAATCGGTGTTTCTGGGAACGTTCTCTCTTAGATCGCTGATTTCTTGGATAACCGGACAATGCGAGTCGACGTGAACGAGACTTACTCCGCTCCCGTGCTCATGACTAGCGGTGTCCCACAGGGATCGGCTTTGGGCCCAGAACTTTTCAAGATCTTCATCAAGGACCTCCTGGCGGAACTTCATTTGGATTGCTTGATTTATGCTGGTGACTTGAAATTGTGGATGGAGGTATCCTGTCTTGACGAGGCGGATAGATTACAGAATACGCTTGACACGTTACATGAGTGGTCAGTCAAATGGCGATTGCCCATAAATCGCGATAAGTGCTCGGTCCTTCCCATTGGTGCTTCTGGGCCTTTCGGGACGTATCACCTCGGTGGGACGTTGCTCAGAACCTCAATCCTAGAAAATGACCTCGGCGTGTTGGTGTCATCTGATCTACGGACTACACAGGACACGTTACGAAGGGTTTATGCTGCCAGCAGGATGTCCCACGCCATACGACGAGCTTTCTCGCGTTTGACTCCGGATATCTTCCGACTATTGGTTACTTCCCATGTCCGCCCCATTCTCGAATACGGATGGCGAACGATAATGACGCGGCGTCAAAAAAACGGGTTGTCCCCTCGGGTGCTGCGCCCGAGGGGAAACAGCCGCGTCAAGCAGGACTAACTGTATGGTATACCAATTGCTACAGTGTGAGGAACAAATGGGGAGAGATGGTGAGGCGCTGGGGATGTGCTGATGTTGTGGCTTTGACAGAGACATGGCTTTCTCCGAGCGACATCGTTAGTGGCCTACTGGTAGATTTCGTGAGTTACCGAGTAGATAGACCTGATCACCACACTGGCGGGGGAGCACTATTGCTTATAAAGCGACAGTATAGTCATT